AGATTGAATTGTGTTTTTGTGAACCTGTATTTTCCATTAAAACATAATTACTCTCAAAGATTGCTATTTTACGGTTGAGCGTAATCGAAACCAATATAGACATATTAAAACATATAGGACGAAATGTGAATATTTCTATTGAATCCGATTCAAAATCATAGAAACTTATTTATACATACTATTGGGATAAGTTCCAGTTCAACAAATAAGTACAACTAATTTGAGAGTAATTATGTTTTAATGGAAAATGCAGTTCAAAAACACAATTCAATCTTATTAGACCGAATAGGATTTTCTAATGGTTTTAATCGGACTTTTTCAGCAGAAATCTTGTAATTTCAAAAATAATTTATTTTGCAATAATAATGCTTTATTATTACCAAATTACTTCCAGAATTACGCATGCAGACGTATGTTTTTCCGATGCATCTTATAGAAAACGATAAAATAATACATTTCTATAAAAAAAATTTCTAAACAAATGTGACAAAGTAGTCTTACTTCTCACTGCAAGCGAAGGTTTAATTAAGATTAATATTAAAGTTAAGTTTTATCGGTAATGTTATTATGTATCTCTCCATCTCAATGTTCGAATTGAAGACGGAATTCTAGTCGATTCTCTGATGCCGCCGACAATTTCTTCGGATCTCGTCTTGGCTATACCTTTAGATAAGCGAAAAACAGAAAGCCGGTTCTCTTGATGATTGAGAAAGAACCTTTCTAGCAAATGGGGACGAAATAACCATATTTTAGTGAGAAAAACTGAATTGGTGTATAATAATGTAGCAGATCTACGTTTTATATTTAAAAATTAAATTGACAATTTGAAAAAATGGTAGATTACATATCTTTTTCCGTCGACAAATTCAAGAGGACTTTATTCTCACCGAATTTTTACGTCAAACGCTAAAATTCGTATGTCATTTAAATGATTACGGAAGAGAAGAAACTGAATAATTGATCGTTAAGAAGAAGCTATAAAGAAATTTCTCGCTGAGGTTTTTTCATACAAAATAAAATAACTGATATTTTTTTATACATCTTGTATTTTACACCCTTTGCGAGAAATAAAACAATCTGTAACTACGTCTCTGCGAAGTGCTCTCGAAGGAAAGTCGTAACTCGCTTGACTGCACTTGAACGGCAACTGGTTTACGAGCTAAGCGCGCATATCGCGTTGTTAATTCAGTCACGCGATGACAAATAACATGTCGACAAGACACATCCATCAGCGCGTTATGTTCGCATTGTGCGCCGTGTGTTGTAGCGATATATCACTGTAGTAAGATTTTACAATGCTCGGTGGCGGAGACGTGCCTGGTTTATTTCGCCGATTATTTCGCCGTTTATCCGTCCGGCATTATTGCATAGAGATCGTATTACGATATCATAAACTCGCGTTACACCCGCATGTTCCTTGTTGCCAACGCTTGCTGCTGACGCTCCATTGTACGATTGCATTTTCTCTGCAGCGTATATTGCGCGCGTCACTGCAACGCATATCAGTACCCTCGCTACGCACCGTCCGCCGTTTGCGCCGCATTGTCAACGCTGACAAGACGTAATGCCGAAATTTGTCTCCGCGTACCTACATCAACCACATGCATATCACGTACCAATCCTTTGCGCTCGCAGACTCCTTTATAATTTTGTGGCGCTATACGTTTTAGACGATTAGAATGCTAAAGAAAAGAATTAGAAATTTCCAATTTTTTTTTAAAAGAAAACGATATTAAAATATAGTATATCTCTTTTAATTATTAAAAGTGAATTACGTTCAATATCTAATATTAGATCATTGTAATGCTCTCAATGCCAATTTTCATTGTCTCCGTTATGTTATCGATGTTGATAAGATATGTAATGCTGTAAGATTTATTACGCATACATTCGCCATGTGTGCATCGTGTATAAATGACTTTCTGCGCTCACAAACCGGACTTCCTCATAATTTAGCATATTTAAACATTTTGGACAATTAGAATGATAAAAAAAAAACTTGATATTTATCATTTGGCCAATTTTTTAAAGTTGATTTTATTCCTTAAACATGCTTACTTGTCGACAAAAAAATACGTATCAAATATTTTCTTTCCCTCTGCAAACTCACCATTTCATTAAAATCGAAGAGGAACACCTGGGACGCCTTTCCTTGTAAGTGTCGTATGCACGTGTCATTCAAAGTGATAATATTTGCTTATGCTGCGCAAGGTCAAATTGCTCTTACACGGAACTATACACAGCGGTTTTACACAGCAAATGGGGAACTCGACAGCTATTTGCAGCGACAATCTCTGTTTGCGTACGTACTTCATTTTGATTACATTGGATTGCTGAAGGAGTCATTCTCATGCACATGCATGTTCTCAGAACACACTAAATCGCTGCCACTTCGCGCGCCTGCGCGCGCGTGCATTGAGTTGAAATTTATGAAATATGCTTTTAGAGATTCCTCAACTCAAACGAATCTTTTCGCGTAATCCGAGTGAATAAATATATATTGCCCGTTTTTTGAAAAAAATATTAAACATTTCAATTTACATACGACTATAATACAGTGCCTTCCGAAAGTTCGGGGCCACCTAAATAATTTGTAAACGATTTAAAATATAGGATTGAAATTTATAGGGATACAATGGGATCACAAAGTCTATTATTTAACCACAAAAACACCCACCTCCACACCCCTGGGGGACGGGGGGATGGGGGAGCCAAAAAAATCTTAAATGGCATGTGGGGTTGAGTGAAGGCTCGTTCGAAAGGGATTTTCGAGACGAAGACAACGCGATGTCGCCGAGGTCTGTACGATTTTTTTTCGCAGAGTTATGATTATTTGAACATAGCAGTCAGCAGAGATAAAGACAAAGACCCCACGGTTCGTAACTTCCGCGGTAGTTGACTCCAAAACCTCTCTGCTGTGTGTGTGTGTGTGTGTGTGTGTGTGTGTGTGTGTGCGTGCGCGTGCGTACGTGCGTGCGTGCGTGCGTGTGTGCGTGCGTGTGTGTGCGTATGCGTGTGCGGCGTGTGCGTGTGCGTGTGCGTGTGCGTGTTAGTGTGCGTGTGCGTGTGCGCGCGCGCGCGCGTGTGTGTGTGTGTGTGTGTGTGTGTGTAGGAATAACGAACCGTGGGGTTCTTATCTCTGCTGACACACACACACACACACACACACACACACACAGCAAAGAGGTTTCATACACACCTCGGCGACATCGCGTTGTTTTCGTCTCGGAAATCCCTTTCAAACGAGCCTTCACTCAACCCCACATTTTTTGGCTCCCCCATCCCCCCGTCCCCCGGGGGTGTGGAGGTGGGTGTTTTTGTGGTTAAATAATAGACTTTGTGATCCCATTGTATCCCTATAAATTTTAATCCTATATTTCAAACCGTTCACAAATTATTTAGGTGGCCCCGAACTTTCGGAAGGCACTGTATACATATACGTTTATCATGATAGATGCAACTTTTAGAGGCACACAAGCCCCGGATTAATCTTGGCTATACTGAAGAGTAGCGAAATACGCTAACTGTGCTATTGTAATTAATTATACTAATATACCACTTTGGAATGGAGAACTGTGCAATATTTTAATTTTATTCGTCGTTTGATATCGCTGAAGATGGCTCGATCTATGAGCTGAAACGTTCGATTTGTAATTCATTTGGAATGGATTTGGAATAAATCAGTGATTCTGATCATCTACGCACAGACAACTGCATTTGACTCTCATAGCCATCCTATTACGAATTTCCAATTTCGAGAGTCCTAAATTATTATTTTAATAATTATACTAGTTCTGTAATTTATTATGTGAATTGTAGATGTAAGTATATCGTATGCATGCTAAAGGATTACTCGGAAGTATGTACTCTGTAATTTTGATATAATTTTATACTTAAAATATGTTAGAAAAGAAATACTTAACCAAAATTAAGAAAAAAATATGTTGTTCAGTAAGATTACTTTAAGTACTTAATGTTTAAAACAATTTCATAGCATTTGATGTCTATGAATAACAAGAACAAAGTTTAGTTTTTTTTTCTTTTTTTTTTAAACCTTGCGAGAAAGTGCGCGTTTGCAATTCTATGGAAACGTACACGTTTTATTACATGCATTATTTTCTCACAATATAAATTCACTATTATTTTTAGCTAATTTTCTTTATTGTTTTTTATATAGTTAGACTTCTTAGAAGATAGAAATGGAACTTTTGTTTTATCAACGACTATAATAAACAAAGATTAAGCTGACTTCTCTTTTCTATAATTTTCAACGGGCAGGCATCAAAGCAGAAATTCGTAACACTCGAAATCCCAAGAAGTATACACATCGCGCGAGGAAATTTCAGCTTGATAGATTCGACTCACGCACACCTGACGAACAGCTGTGTAGTCGTCATAACTTTGTCATGGGTCTTGATCACGTATAATTCACCCTTCTTGAACGCCTTTTCTAACGTACGTATTATCCCTCCCGTACCTATGTGCGATAAAATATTTTATACCAATCAATATAGCATATGAAGCTTTTGATACAGCATCAGTTATTATTTAAGTCATAATTACAGCAATTAAACCGAATATTACCGCTATTTTTATCAAAATAGAAATTTTATAGGATTTTGCACATCTAACGCACAGTAACATTTTACTGTTATCCACATAATTACCTCTAATTACCTACTTTTAGCGGAATACGTTTCATGCATATATTCTTTTTCATTAAAATTAGTTCTTTCAAATAATTTAAAATAAAGATATATAATAATCTAAAATAAAAGCAATAATTTGATGAACAACTATTCCAAGCAAAAAAATGACACCATTACCTAAAGAAATTAAGTTATGAAAAAGAAAAGAAAGATTTAAACTTTTCAAAAATAACAAAATTATACTAAATAAATGTGAATATTTTATTTTTATTAGCTATTAACTTTTTTTACTACCTAGTTTACCAGATAATTTTTAAAAAATACATTGATTCTTATATAACACAAAATGATAAACAAAACTATAAAATATCAGTCTCGAATGTATAGACGGACACATGCGGATATCTTTCCTTCCATTGATTAACCAAGCAATCACTGCAGGTATTATGGAATATAAGATAAAACTCTTACAGTTTAGGACATTGTTCGAAAATAACGGAATATTTATCAGGAGTCACAAATTCCACCCGGTAGAGATTGTTCTAAGTTTTTGCACTACGCTAGTAATTCTAAAATAACTATTTTCAGACGTTGACAGGAAGAAAGCAATCTGCGCAAATTCACAGGCCCGCAAAAAAAAGTATATTGCTCTGGGGTTGAGACCACATTACTCCTATGTATTTTGACCCGCTGAACACGAATCTGCAATAAAAAATAGGGGTCGCCCAGTGAATTTCAGAGATAACTTTTTTTGTGGGCCTATGTTATCAACCTTGATTGAGTTTCCAAATCTGTAACAAAAATCATCTAATTATTATAGTACTTTAATCACCAAAAAAATTAATATAACTTTTTCCAGATACTCGAGATGCAAGAAAAGCAAACACACCGATAAAGCATATGGTAACAAAAATATATAGCACACACATACACGAGGAGGTACACTTTTCGTAAATTTTTGCAGTCAGCGAGGGTATCAATACCCTGAAATGTAAGATCATATGTGTACAGTAAATTTATTACTTCCAAGTCCAGACACGAATTTCTCAACTCTATTGCAACAACGTCCAAGTTTAAAAGGTTACAACCCTGCAAATCTAACTCACGCATCCATTGATTTTTTTTGCAGTATTTTGCAAAAACCTTGAGTTTTTATACAAGCATTATGAAGGTATAAATGTTCCAAACCCTTCAGCTTCTTGAGATACGAAAATCCTTTGTTGCTTATGCGATAGCAATTACATAGATCCAATTCTAAGAAAAATATGTATGCAATTTACCAGTACCTTTCAAATTTTTACATATCTCTGAAATTTTAAGTACGGCACGATTGCCAACAGATGAGCAATTAATTAATCTTAAGTGCGTTAAACGCGCCGTTTGCCGCAATTATCAGGAAAGTTTACGAAATCACTAACATCAAATTTGCTTCCTGTAAGATCTAATTGTTGCAAATATTTACATCTAGATGTAAAGTAACAAAACATATCATGCATATCTGTGCGAGATACATTTCGCATGTTCAAACGTGTATAGAGTTTATAGTCCTGTGTTACACTATTAAAGCGTTCATCTACATATTTCATGCGGTATAATGTCGTCAAATCTAAGTTATTTTTAAGGCTTCTGGATAGTCACCGCGGCCATATTGGATTCTTACTATCGAGGCGAGGAAAACACCCAATTTTGTTGTGCATGTCATTTTCAAATAAAAAGACATTTCAATAAAACATCACTATAGATCGTTTCAGAACACTTTCGAAATTGACCGAAAACTACCCGTTTTCCTCGACAATAAACAAACAGCCATAAAACGAAGCCTAAACATACGGGAAAAACAGCCGTTTAACGACTATCGAAAGGAGGTGAAAATCTTACTTTTCCTCATGCAAATCTTACTTTTCGGTCAATTTTACGACTTTCACGAATACGTTAAACGTTAGAGCACAAGCACAGAGCGAATAATAAAGAAATAGCATGCACAACAAAATAGGTTGTCAACATGTCACAAAGGACAGAATTCTCCATTGGAGAGAGTTCTTATTTCTGCCGCGACGGTACGTCGCCACCGTCAACGCAGAGTTCTCGGCTGACCATCCAGGAGCCTTAAATATGTTTAGCAGTATTTCATCCTGCAAAAATAAAATATAAAACTTTAATACACGAGATAACATTACAATAAGTATTATTATAAGAAATAAACTTCTTAAAATACATTACAGGAAGCACACACAAACTGCAATGTGATAACTCCTTGGATTCACCCGAAGAGAGTTTCGAATGACATCTTGATAAAAGAAAACGTGAGTATTTCTGTCTAAGAGATTGCACATAACAAAAGGGATTATCTCTCGAGCAGTCCTCACACCGCTGCAAGTAACATCAATTAAAAATTTATTAATTTATATTTATATTAATTTATAAACAATAGATTTTTGGCATTGGCAGTAAATATTGGAACGCATAGCCTTTGTATAAGAAAATTTCAGTTAACAAAAAAAATGTTTGTTTTATATAGAGAATATTATATATCGCTTTGCGTGGAAAATACAATCCAGAGAACCACGTACTCACCCTCTGCTCGCGGGGGAAGGGCGGTAGCCCCTCTCCCACCTACATGTGTACCGTCTATACACTCATATCAACAAATTACTTCACTTAGAACTAATGTTACTTTATAATACCTAAAAAAAAAATTATGTCTAAGACGTCATATGTCCCGATTTGAGATATGTGTGTCTGGGATATATCATTATTATTAAATAATTAAAATTAAAAAACAGTTTCTTAAAATTTTTCAAAATAGTGAAATATTTCTTTTTAATATCTAATATGAACCATCGCAAGCACGTGCTTTGCATTCTTCTTTTTGAAAAAAAAATTAATTTTAACAATAAATAAACGTGTTATTATTAAATATTTAAATATTTAGAAAAAAAGACAATTTCTTAACATTTATTTTGTAATAGCGAAATGTTTCTTTGTAAACCTGTGATATGTCGCGAGCACGTGTGTGCTCTATGCTCTTCTACCACGTGGATATGTGCACTAGCACCAAAGGAAAAACAAGAAATTGTAAAATTTAGATTGCTCACGTTCGCTACACTTACGCTTAATTTCTAAGTAACTAAAATTTTTTAAAGAATTTTTAATGTTATTTTATGTATCTTTTATCTCATTTTTTTGATATACGTAACAATAAATCGAACAAAGGGAATACAGTGAATAAAGAGAATTACCGAAAATTTAACTCAAAACTGAATCAAAAAATTAATCAGAAAAACTAATTTCTATTGATTTTTATACTACTTAATTGGTAGTTATCGTACAGGCAAGATCGTATATCGTACCAGACTTTAAATTTCTTCGTTTTCTCCCAATTTCTCCCACTGGGAGCATGTACTATACTAAAAATATATAGGGTACGTTACGTAGATTATAGATTTTTAATATAGTATATGTGCCCAGTGGAAGAAAACTAACGCAGGCTATATATTATATATTAGACTGCTAAAGCGTTGCCAACCTGTACGATAATGGTGGGGGCGTACGATAATTTAAAGTCTGGTACGATATACGATCTTGTCTGTACTATAACTACCAATTAAGTAGTATAAAAATCAATAGGGGTATTCAAATAGTTAGAGTTTAACGGTTTGACAAGTTATGTCGGGTTAAAGTCGGGTAAAAAGTTAATTTTTAAACTTTTAACCCAAAGATTAATGTGATAGGTTAATGAGTCACTTGTGTATTTTGCATAACCTTAAAGAGTAGCGCGCCTAAAGTTAATTAATTAACTTTTTACTCGACTTTAACCCGACATAACCTGTCAAACCGTTAAGGGGATCCTAAAGCCGTCTGTAATACCGGCTTTTTTTCTTAGCACTAATCTTTTAATTGACTTTATAGAAATGCAAAATTCTTGTCTAGAATTAAAGTACGCATCAAAATCTAGGTCATGGTGGTCAAATTTATATCGAAAACGAAAAAAAATTAATATTTTTGTTAATTTTTGGTATACGTGACGACAATATTTGCTTTGTACAAAAATTCCACGATAAATATCCACAAAATTAGACCGGCATGACCTAGGGACAACATTTAAGAACATTATCGTGCAATTAGATCTAAGATTGAAAACTTAGAAAAAAAGATTACTTTATATAACTTTTATATGTGCAAAAGCACATTCAGGTTGACAGGATAAGCAATATTGCGTGTGGCAAGAGATGGCGCAGTGATCGAACAAAGACAGATGCCTCTCGTTAGACAAGGACAGATATAGATATATGACAAAAAAACAGAATTAGAAATGTTGACATTACCGACGTCGAGGAAGTTCAGCCTTCACTTTAGGATCCCCTTAAACTTTAACTTATTTGAATACCCCTAATAGAAATTAGTTTTTCTGATTAATTAAAATATACGATAACTACCAATTATACAATAATTTTTCGAAAATGCAAAACGCATATATAAATATAGACCAAACATTCTCTCTAAAACGTGAAACCGGTAGATGGATACGTCACGTATTTAGTTACCGATCGAGGTTGAATTTGGGAACGCTGCTAGCCCTTCCCTGGCGGAAATATTTCTACAAAATTTAAAAAACTATAAAATATAATTGCCAGAATCTATTAAATTCTACATGAATTTAAGAAGTACTACAAAATCCTACATGAAAATGCTAGAATTGGAACACTTTTGTAAATTTTTGTAGTATTCTACAAGTAAGCAGATGTTTTAATTTTTTAAGATTTTGTTTCTTCTTAAATTTTTATTTTTTTATAAATTGTAGTTTTTCATAAAATACTACTTGCAATAATTTCTTGATTTGAGAACATTGTAATTTGTGGTACTATTTCGTAGATATTTCTACAAAAAAATAACCATTTCTACAAAAAATTAAATATTTTAACAAAAATGTACAAATTTCTATTTCTAGTTAAATTTTGTAGTTATTCATAGAAATTTTGTCCGCCAGGATTGGGGACCTATTACGTATCTTTTCACGAGGTAAAAATGTGAAAAGTGAGAGAATTCACTAAAGTATCTACATTGAAATCTAGTAAATCTATTCACTTTTCGTATTTTTATCTCGTGAAAAGATACGTAATAGGCCCCCTGATTGATGCCAGCCAATCACAGCCATTAGAGGGCGTTGTCACGTGACTTGTTGGCGCCTGTCTTGAGACTCTTTAGGTTATCAATGTTATCACATTCTCGTTCGACGTTCACCATTGCTCGCGTTTTCAATTTACGAAAAAGGTTAATTCGTTTTTTATTTAATCGTTCAAAATAGAATTAGATTCAAATATTGATTCTCCAAGCAAACCAAAAAGGTTTTATGGCACACCTGAAAAAAAGAAAAAAATACGTGGTGATTCTAATAAAATAGCGTCTCATAGAAAACAAGTATTTAGAAATAAGTGGAAAAACAACTCTATAAAAATTGGCTCGGGGCAGTTAACGAAAACAAATATAAAGCTAAATGTATATTGTGTAATATAGTATTTTTTTTGGCTGAATTGAGTGTTGTCAAACGACATAATGAAAGTAAAGGACATATTGAAAACATTAATTTAATTGGTTACAATAAACAGCCAAAAATTTTAGATTTTAGTGAGAGGTTAACATCAAACCGACATTTGAAAAAGAAATAAAAAGAGCTGAAATCAACCTTGTGGGCTATCTTGTGTCCCATAATCATTCATTTAATTCTGCTGATGATCTCGCTGTAACATGTAAAAAGAGTTTTCAAGATTCAGAAATTGCAAAGAAGATTTCTCTAGGAAGGACCAAAGCAACAGCTATTACTAAGAATGTGATCAGCACTTGTCATGAAAATGAGATTGTCAACTTCCTCAAGAACCAAAAATTCAGTTTAATTTATATCGACGAGTCCACAAATATTGGGAATATTAAATCACTATGCGTTTGTATTCGCTTTGTGGATCCTGTCAACCCTGGAATTAACACTATTTTGGGATTTGTTAGAAGTAAGAATAATACTTATTTTACTTAAGCTGCTTTTGCTGTTTTACTTTACATATTATTTGAATTTAAAAGATTAGAAAGTAATAACTTTAAGTAGGCACATCATCTTATAAATTAGTGTTAATAGCTAAAATATATGAAATAAATAATAGTATATATTTCTAAAATATTTAAAGTAGTAAAATACAATCAATTTTTTTATGTATGTATATAAAAATATTCCTAAATGTATATTTTCATGTGCTCTCTTTTTAAATTCAGATTTATTCACCTCAAGATGCTGATGCAGCTGCCGAAGGAGCAACAGCAGACAGGTTATTTACGAGAATTAAAAATTTGTTTGAGAAATTTGGAGTGCCCATGGAAAACTTGATAGGATTTGCCAGTGACGGTTGTAACGTAATGTTTGGAAAAAATAACTCGGTTGCTCAAAAGTTACAAGAAGCGTGTCCAAATATTATCACAGTAAAATGTATTTGCCATTTGATCCATATTTGTGCATCGGAGGCCTGCAAAAAACTTCCTCGAAGATGTGAGGATTTAGCCCGAGATATTTACTCATTTTGTAAAAACAGTTCAAAGAGACACAGGCACAGCTTGCACAATTTCAAGTTTTTTTCAATGTAGAAATTCATAAAATTTTGAAACCGTCACAGACGATGGTTGTCAGTTTTAGAAGTTGTAAAAAGAATATTAGAACAGTGGGAACCGCTTAAACTTTTTTTCAGTCCAGACTTTTTGAAGAACGACTTATGTCTGGTAAAAACATACACGTTGCTATGAATGATATTTTTGTGAAAATGACTTTATTTCTTCGAGTGGGCTCTTTCCAATGCATTTAAATCAATATTTTCAAGGAGATGAAGTTTTGATTACAAGTATTCATGAAAAAAATGTGTGCCACTTTTAAAGATTTATTATGTTGCTACATGGAGACTGAGTTTGTTAATAATAAGAACATTTAGGAAATTAATCCTGAAGATACTCTAGCAAATTTATAAAAATTGAAAATATTTACTCAGGTGTAAAAATTCTGCAAGCTTTAAACAGCGATCAATTAAAAACCTGTAGTGTCGAAAAGATTATAGCTTTTAAAACAAATTGCCGCAATTTTATTATCACTGGCTGTAAAGAAATTTTGAAAAGATATAATTATTCCAATCCAATTTTACCAAAATTGATGTGGCTAAATCCAAAGGAGGCTTTATCATCAAATGTTTCAAGATCACCAACTCTGTGCCACCAACCATTAATACTTCCTAGAATAATAAAAGATGAACAAATTCAAATTATTGATGATCAA